CATGCATTGATGATGTGAGGAACAACCTTGACACCAGCAACCTCAGCCGCGACAACAAAAGGCGAGGCGGCGGCGCCCGTGGCTGCCTTGTTGGCAAAGGCAAGCTTTGGCGAGTCGTAGGGAACATTCATGCCAACGAGGAGAACTGAAAGGCAGTAGAAGAAGAGGATACGGTAAAATGTCAAGCGGACTGGATTCAAATCAGCATGTGCATGTATAGGAGGCAAGGGGTTCAAAAACGCTTACTAGCACGGGGGATCGTCTTGCGGGGGTTCTGAGCCTCAGCGACGGTAACACCAACAAGCTCGGTACCGAGGTAGGCGAAGGTAGCCGTGACCATGGTCGACCACAGGCCGAGGAACTTGCCGGCATCGCCGTCCTTGATGTAGGGCTTGAAGGCTCTGTAGCGAGGATTAGCTGTGATCGTTCAGATCGAAGACGCACGATGGAACACTTACCCAGGCTCTTTCCAGTACCGGAAACCCTTGCGGTCTTTGTCGGGGCCACCACCGAGGGCGAGGATCAATGAGAACAGAATAATGCCGACAATGGTGATGACCTTGAAGGAAGACAGCCAGAACTCAAATTCTCCAAAGAACTTGATGCCGAAGTAGTTGATACAGATGATGGCGACAAGGAAGATGGCGATGAACACACCCGGGTTGATGTCTTCACGGGGAACCCAATACTGAATGACGAGGGCGACGGCAGTCAGTTGGTTGGGCGTGACGATGATGTATTTGAACCAATACGTCCAGCCGAGTGCAAAGCCGAGAGCAGGGTCGCAGTACCGAGAAGCGTAGCCGCTGAAGCCAGCGGACAGAGGGAGCCAGGTGGCCATCTCGCCAAGGGCGGCCATGACGAGGTATACGACGAAACCAACAATGGTGTACGAGATGAAGATGGAACCGGGCCCGGCCTGGGCCAGAGCCTTACCGGTGCCGATGATGAGACCAGTACCGATGGCACCACCGATGGCAATCATGGTAATGTGACGAGCCTTGAGTCCCTTGTGGAGCTGCGTCTCGGGGTTGGTTTCGAGGCCGCGGATGTGGAGGTCCTCCTTGGGTCCGGAGTACTGGCCGACCAGAGCAGGTTCGTCTGTCTTCTCGACATCGTACTGGCCGTACTCGCGCGACGTCGCGCGTGTGACGTGAGGGTCCATGCTTGCACGCTCTGGACAGGAGGGCTTGACAGCAGGGGGGAGTGAAGTGCAGCCGAATAGAGCAAGGAAGGATCGGACTAAGAGAATAGCTGGGACGACGGGTCAGGTCAGACGAACAGGCGACGAGTGGGAGGGCCCGACTTTAAATGATGGATGTCTCGCGAGCACGAGGGGCAGACGGAGAAGGGACCCAGGCCCGGGCACGATAACGTCGAGTAAGACATCAAAGGGGTGTGCGCAACCGCCCCAAGTCGACGACCCACCAGATAAGGCTAATGCAAGACAAGGGCGGATGGGAGCAGCGTCAGTGGCACAGGAAAGAGACATTTGGCACCTTCCCCGCGTGGTAGGAAGCACGGTTGACAAGCTGGGGTTGGTGTTGCGTAATGGGGAAGGTGGTGCGACGATGATGACCTCGCTGGTGCAGTGTTCAGTAACGATTTGGTAACGAGATTTGGGGTAGCGGCCAGCGGCGTCCTCGCGGCGCGTCAAGGGTGCGCTCGATGATGGGGATCCTGGGTGAAAAGATCTGCGTTGCTGCTCTTTCGCGGTTGGGAGCCCAGTACCAACCTAGGTACATGTACTGCACTGCCCTGAGATCATCACTGGATGGAGCTCGATCTGTGTTGGCTCGCCGCCGGGCCGGATACTGACCAACTGGCGCGAACGCCCGCAGAGAAGAAGCCGGCTGCCAGGCTTCCAGAAGGAAGCTTGGCAGGCAATAGCCTGCCACTTCTTATCACGAGGTGGAGGAACAGAGGGATAAACTGACAAGACGAGGCGGGGCCCGACCTGACAAGCCGAAGTCAACCGGAAGCATTTCGCCCTCGCCATAGGATGAGGGGAGATGCCCTGGATGCATAGCTCTTTCTGTTGTTGGGCGGATCAAGCTGGCAAGGGTGGGTAAACAAAAACTTGCGTGGTTGAATCGCATGAAGTGGGGGGACATCGGTGCTGCCATCATTCACAGTACACATGATTGGGCAGAGGCCGAACAGGGTGTGGTCGTGGCGGCCGCCGTCTCGTGCAAGACCCGGTCCTCCCGTCAGCCATCGCGCTCAATGAGGTGAGGGGCTGGACGCCCGACCTGTAAAAGCCGAGAGGCAGACACCCTGGTCGAGACGAATAGCCGAGTGGCCAAAAGGGCCAAGAGGGCCAAGCAGGGCAGAGATGGCCAAGGTCGATGGCCAAGATGAGTGGAAAGCTTGACCGAAAAGCTTCGCCCAGACGACCCTTGTTGGTCTGCCTCTTCACCCTGCCTGGTCTGCCTGTGGCTTGAAGTGGTATGGTTTTTTCTTCTTTCTCTCAGCTGGTCTGCCTTTCGTGGGGAATCCCGGGTGAGAGAACGACTACTGTTACGTCGTCGAGACATGGATTGAGTTCGCAAGCGTCGAACGGCGAGTCAAACGGCTGGTGGCGTTATTTGTAAAGTCCCGAGGACTACTGTATGCATACTTTTGCCCCAGACAAACCCCCCAGGCGCACGCAGGCACATTGCACCTCCACGAGCTTCCTTGCTGGAGCTAGACGGCGTTCTGGAACGATAGCCAAGAAGTGGATTGCAACCAGAAATTGGCTCCGCCACAGTCCAGTGAGTGCAAGGGTGGGGAGTGGATGCGTTTGCAGATTGGCCGACTCGGATTGAGACTCTGCTTTGGGCCAGGTGACCACCAACGTACATGGTACGAGCTAACAAGGGAAGGGAGGTGGGCTTATCGCGAACAGTGGAGCATGAACTTTGACGGTACCACGCGGGACCACATAGCACGACGAAGCGCTGTTCGCGTCGGTTCGAGTCGGGGTCGAACAGCGACCGTATCGTAGCGGCCGGGCGCCAGCGGGATTTCGGCGGTCAAGGCTTGTTCCGAGACGGCTTGGTAGCTCAACTAGTTACTGACTGCTGGAACGTGGAGCGCCGCAAACAAAAAGTCGGGTACGAAAATGCCTTGTTTGCCCAGCCCCCCGCCATGTCTCTTTGGCGTGGGCAAACAGAACATTGTGCTGGGCATATTTGATGGCCGCCACAGATTTTCATTGCAAGCCAAGCACTTAGAACTGGAGAAGAGACAAGCTTGAACCAGGCGAAGCTGGAGAGCCTGGGATGGGGACCTTCAGAGGCGTGTGTCTGTGCCTGAGTCCTTCCAAGGCGCACAGATTGCGCCGAGCTGACAGGGCCTCAGATCTGATGTGTCAAGGGGGACCAATCCGAGTTGTGTGCCGCATTGATGGAGTGGGTCACGTGAGTGACTACACGTCACATGACTCTTGGGGGCCACATCAGCCGCAATCTTCGGACACCCCACGATTCTACGGGTACTGCCGGAGTATCGAGCGCCAAACCTGTCATGTTCTGGATTGCGTCCCACCTCATCAGCTATCGGGTACTATGTAACACCAGGTTATCGGCAACCAATGAACTCTCACTTGATGCGAATGAGGAAACCTTTCCAGGGAATTGCTATCAGAAGGTCATGCCACAGACGGGCGTTGAACTTACGGGGACCGATCTCAGCTACGTCGTCTGGCGGCCCATTGCCGCTCCAACACGCACCCCTATCGAAACTCATAGCTCCTGTTCGGCAACTAAGCTGGAGCCATCAGTATCCCATGTCTACACAAGCTGGGCACCTGGGCCAGCAAGGCCAGCCCTCGTCCCTTGAGAAACCCATTTCCCCACAACTGCTGGGCGAGGTACGCGACTTTTGGTTTTCTCATTTGGAAAGTGAGGATGCAGCCATCCTGCCAGGCTTCAATGAGATGAAGCGTTGGTTCATGGGAGGCGAAGAGCTTGATACTCTCTGCAGGTAGGTTGTTCCGGCCGTGCCGCAACTGAATATTCACTTACTCGCCCAGCGAACGTTTCAAGCCAGTGCTTGAGGCCATCAAGTCATCAAATGCGACCCCAGAAGCGATCATTTCCGACGCCAGCCCATCTGACCCTGGGGACTGGCTCGCGTTAGTCCTTCTGCTGGATCAATTCCCCCGCAACTGTTACCGAGGGCCTTCAGCAAGTCTCGTCTTCTTGATCTTTGACCCACTTGCCCAAGCCGTTGCACGCAAGGCCATCGATCTTGGTATCCCGATTTCCCGCGACATTAGATACCACCTGTCTCGCCGCATGTGGTTCTACCTGCCTCTGATGCATTCAGAAGATCTCACGTTACACAACCACGCTGTTGCTGAGTACGAGCGCATGGGCCGCGACTTCAAGACGCTCATGACGTCTTCACCAGTCAATGACGCCGCTGAGGAGCGTTGTCGTCAGGTCCTGGCAACGGACAAAGAGGCAACTGAAAAGATTCTGGCTTCGAATCTCGACTTTGAGATCAAGCATCGTGAGATCATTGTTCGCTTTGGTCGCTATCCCCATCGCAACGGTCCGCTTGGCCGGGAAATGTCAGCGGACGAGCAGAAATACCTCGACGAGGGTGGCGAGACATTCAGTGCGAGCGCGTCGAAGTCTTGACCAGTCGTACCCAGGGCGCGCTGAAACCCGCTCTGAAAACCGCGCTGAAAACCGCGAGCACGCAATGTGACAAGCCTGTATATATGTGATTGTACCTGCTACGTGGTCATTTCTTTCGAGGTTGCAACTTTGTGCCAAAACCAAATGCAATCATGGAACATCTTCGTGGAAGTTAACGATGACCCCGCACTGAGTTGGGGAGCACGCCATCTCCCTCCCTCCAGTTATTATTTCGCCATCATCATACGCCATGATTGATAATCAAACATTACGAATGCCTTGCATGGCGTCATCTTCATTGCAACTGATAAAAACAGAACTCGGAGGCTGTTCTTTCGTTTCTTGCTTTCGAAATCATGACACATCAAAATGGGACGGTTTTCCGACAAGCTTGCTGGGCAGAAAATTGCTATCATTGGCGGTTCCTCCGGGTAGGTCGTGCTCTTTCAAAACTCTTGATGCACTGTCTGACTCTTACAGAATCGGCTTTGGTGCTGCTGAAATCCTGCTTGATGCCGGTGCTCATGTGGTTGTCATCTCCTCAGCAACGGACAATGTGCAGAGTGCCGTCGAGCGCTTGAATAGCCCAAACGTAACAGGCAGAGTAGGAGATGTCCGTGATGAGGCTAGCTTCACGCAACTCCTCCAGTCGCTCGCGCCTCTTGACCATATTATCTTTTCGAGCGTTGACAAGATCATCCGCGGCAGTCTCGCAGATACTGATCTGACTGGCGCGAAGGATTTGTTTGGTGTAAAGTTCTGGGGTAGTATTGTCACAGCAAAAGGTGCGTTTCTTGAGCTTTGAGCACACTTAGTATGCTAAGATTAAGTAGCTGTCGCAAAGCACGGCATCATCAAGCCTGGAGGCTCGCTCACTCTGACATCTGGTCTCGCCGGGATACAGCCCGGGAAAGGTGCCGCGATTGGAGGTGCCCTCAATGGTGGACTACTATCCTTGACCAAAGGGCTGGCTGCCGAGCTGTCCGATGACAAAGTCCGCGTCAACACTGTTGTGCCGGGGCTGGTGAAGACGGAGCTCTGGGGTAAGCTGGGACACAGCAAAGAGAAACAACAGGAGATTTTTGAAGGACGCGGTAAGGAGCTCCCAGTGGGCTTCGTCGCGACGCCAGACCACATCGCCGAGGCTTACCTCTACGCTGTCCGAGCAGACTATGCAACTGGGACTCTCATTGTCATTGATGGTGGAAATCTAGTCTTGTAGTCAAATTCGATGCAATTTCGTAGTTCTTCTACAGTCTTGAATCAACCAGAAATCGCCAAAACCACCATCGGCCCAGCAGCATGGCGCCCAGTCGCTGCATGTGCTATGGCGATCAGCGTGCGCGGACAAAGCATTCATGCACTCGAAGACAACGCACCGCAGGTCGGCTTATTCACCTCCCCGCAGATCCAGCCAGCAAGTGATGTATGCAGAAGTGCTTCAACTCTGCGGCTCTTGACACAAATGTTAACCGCAAAGACCTTTAAACGTGTGACACAAAGTTGGATACAATCTGCCACAAGAACCGAGCGCTTTGGTTCATCAGGCTTTCCATGTTCTTCAAGAAGCTGTGGACAACAACATAACAAACATAACATATGACTCGCAAGATTTGCTCCAAGTTTACTCGGGATACCATGACGGCCCAACACTTGTTAGCCGAGTGCAGAAGACAGCCAGAAGGGCTGCAGGATGCCCTTGACGCAACGCCAAACGTGCTGTACTGCGTTGGAACTTTTCAGTTGCTGATTTCGGCATGTGCTCTGGTAACATGCTTCGAGGATGTTAAGGGAGTATCGTGCCAGGCTCCGTCGTAATATGTTGCCTTTGGTCATATTAGCTTTCGTCTGGTAGCGACGTCGTGACAAGTATATACTTCACTTGGCTTCGGGCTCGAACTCATAGACTTTATACTCTCGCGTGCTCGTAGTCAGCAACGTTGACCAAGGGTAGCACATTGTTTGGGAAAGCCCGAGCCACCTTGTCCAGTCGACAGGTGGGCCACTCCAGATGCATTTTACTGGCAGAATCTAGAAACTGCTTCGTGTAGCAGGTAGAGAACCTCAGCTAGGCAATGCTTCAATAACATTAGGATGCACACCGGGACGATGACCAGTCAAGAATGCATCTCCCGGCAAGGATAGCAGACTGAACCTGATGTAGACGAAAGTACAAGGGGTTCGATACAATATGCAAGGAACAGCGGAAGATGCAGCTTGACTTTGAGAGCAATTTGAGCACGTTGATGCCTCGTTGAAAAGGTCTGGAATGGAAGGAGTTGCGGAAAGAAGTCCAAGTGGCACACCTTCCAGGACCGTCTCTCCCTCGGAAGCGGCAGTCTCATCGATGGTGGCCGTAAAATCAGCAGCAGAACTTCGCTGTTTCGCCGCAAATAGCGGGAGAAGATTGTCCTAGGGAGTGCTGCCAAAGAGGACTATGAGGCAGCATACATCATACCTTCCTAAGGTAAGACACTCACCAGATCATTGAAGTTGATGGGCTTGTCTCCGAGATGCTCGGAGCTCCGAGCATTAAGCCGATGAATAGAAAATGTATCCGAGCTTGACAGTTCGAGCTAGGAAGACGGCCAAGCATTGTTGTTGGCAGTTGCGCGACTCAGCTCGCGATTCCTCGGAGCCTCGTAGCGGGGTTACGTGCCGCCAAGAGACCATGGCTGATGGAAAAGACTCGTGTCATATCAATTGGCATCTTGGCCTCACAGCAAGCAGGCGGAGCAAAACTTTTAGCACGCCTTGAACGCCACACATGATGATCATGGACATGTTGGGGTCGCAGCGTGAAAGTTCGGTGGCATACCGGGCGCCAGCGCGTCCGTCTGGCGCGTTTGTTGCCGATTGCATATGCAGCGCACGGCTTGAGGTGGCAACTAAGCTTAAACCACTCAACGACGTTTTTGAGCAAGAGAGCCGAGCGGGCGTAACAACCCCCCTCCCCGGGAACGTTCGGGTTGGGGTTGTGGAGAGGGCGGCGCTGGACCTGGGGAAGCGTGGAGAGAACAACAGACTGGTGTGTTCGAGAAGCGAGATGCCAAGATGAGGCTGAGCGCCATTTTAGGCCCCTCCCTTTTACAATGCATGTCAAGCCTCCGGGCTCGGTCTGGGTCAGAAGAAAAGACACCAGGGGCCGGCACTTGTAAATTGTAGGATCGACAGGCACCGTAATTGCCGTCGGGTGATGTTTGTTTTTACCTGGCGTTGATGCAAACACTGGCATCATGGCTTTTTTTTCTTGATACATAATGATGCGGGACTTGGGTGCTTCACTACACCATGTTACAGTCGAATTGGCCGAGCCCTAGGTAACATTCTCAAGCTCACAGTCGGATTTCTTTGGCGTATTTTGGCTACGAACATCAAACTAAGAGTCAAAAATGCATAAGAACGAGGCTCAGGCTCCAGAGTTATGGAGGGGTGGCCAGGTACCAGCTTGTGTAGGGTCGCATGAGAGGCACCTGCAGCCGGATTTGCTTCAATCGGATCAGGAGGGCGAGGCGACTTTGATGCATCCGTTTTGCGCATCTCTTGAGAGGCCCCGCAAGGTTGCAATCCCTGCCAGTAGGTAAGACATCAAACCATCGTTGGGACGCCTACGTACGGTTGATCGCCTGACATGAAGGTAGATTCGATTGTCCATTACGAATTCAGCCCTCCGGAGCTCCCGGCTGTCACACAGCAAGAATTTAGTTGAACAGTGACACAACAGCTCGCACAACATGGCGGACTGTTGCCCGCGAGGGGCCACATTCGTCATGTTAATTGGAGACTTGGCGGCGTTACAAGCGATGGTGGACCAATTAAGCCAGGATATAGAGGAACTGGATTGCAAGAGGCGAAGGAGGCGGGGAACCAAGAGAGAGGAAATGCCAACCCATCTCCCCCGTCTTCCGCCAATCCAGCAGGGGCATACGCATGTGACGCACGACTCGAGTCGAGCTCTCGTGATAATAAACGCTCACCGACCTGGCATGGTGGAGCCTGCCCACTACAGCATCATAGGTCAAACTTTGTAGCATGTGGACTGTGGGACACGGCAACATGGGGGGGGCAGATTGTGAGGTTCAGTTCGACGACCAGAGTTTCCCAACTCTCTGGACAGTCGCACGGCCCAGAAGCGCTCGCCAGACGCCAAACGCTCGTCGGCCACACGCACGACGCGAGACAAATAGGCAAGTAGGCAAACTGCAAGCGGGCAAACGGACAAGCGGGCAGGCAAGCAGGCAAGCAGGCAAGCAAGCAAGCAAGCAAGCAAGCGCGAGGCTCGGAAGCGAGCAATCCAGACGCCTTCTCGGGTGCTCCCACGAACCGTCCAACTCTAAAACACGAGCGGCCCAGTTGCTCATGGGGATAAGCTTAAAGGCTAAGGATATTGGCTCAGTGTCTCCCCCAGTCACAGGCCCGATATTTGCCATGGCCTCCAATCCATCAACACGATTCCTACTGTCCCTGAAAGACCCGCGCCACGATTTCCCACGGCTCTGCTGTTGGCTACACACTGCCGACAAGCCCGGCCTATCCACAACATAGCGCGATGCGCTGCACCACCACTGTGGTGAGGCGTTAAACTCTGCAGCATTGGCACTACAGATGGTGCGATCGCCAATTTCATCGAGAACACACACAAACTGCACCGAAACACGCTCCAGCCATGCCCAGCAATACCAGCCACCAAACTAGCGACGAATCGCATGGCATTTTGTTTGTGGTGGGTGGTTCGAGGGGCCCCATGGTTTATGGCCTCAACATTAGTTCGTTGCATCACCTCAACATTGCCCATGACTGGCCGAGGAGCAAGGACCCTAAACATTCGCCAACCAAAGTGAACGCGCCTCCGCCCGACAACACGTCTTTGGGAAGAATCCGGAGCAATGCACATTCACTTTGAAATGGGGGGGGCAGCCATCTGCGTAACCTCGTGGCCATGTCGACGGATGCAACGGATACGTGCCTTTGCAGATGACTGTGCTAGTCGAACCACCGAGTCATCCCAACCCTCCTTGCACCATTGGCGGCAGCCTTGCGACAGACGAAGGTCTTGGGAGTGGACGAGCACGACTCCAGCTCGCCCTCCTTCACAATGATGCCAAGCCAAGGTGCGGCCTCGTCTAGAAGGGTGCACAACGAATATTGGCCACCTTTCCGAGGTGTTAGGCGCTTGCGCCCGAAGTTTGCCCATCAAAAGGGCCGTTCCCCCGCTCTCGCTTTCCCTGGAATGTCGGTCTTCTCTCCGCTGACCCATGTCAAAGGGCAATACAGGTCGTCTCATTGATCAGGACCCCAAGTGCCGCGGGGCCACAACCCCGGCGCTAGAGGTTGGCAGAAGGGGGGGCACCCGCTGCGGAGTGCTGTAGCTGTGAAGGTGATGACCTCAACCCCCGCCCCCAGTCCACGCTGCCAGCCACCAGAGCATGTTTCGGGGGCACCGGGCAGGCAAGGCCAGTAGCGTCGGAACCTGATTAGAGTCCCTACTTAGCATTGGTCTAGGAGGCATTCGAGGGGGGAGGCAGATCCATCGACCCACTACTTTGATGGGCTTCTGTAGCCTCAAGCTCCCTTTGGGGATCCATGTATCCCACGCATCCCGGCTCCTTGGCATGGCTTTTTTTGCGCCTCTCGTTTGCCCCCCACGTAAGTGTACGATACGTCCGGACCCATCAATAGCAGCAAGCAACACCTTGAGAAAGGACGCAAAGACAAACGGGCAGGCTGTCGAGGAAAACGGTTGCTCATAGTGGATGTGCGAAGCGTCTCCAAAATGGCCAAAAATTGGGGGGAAAAGAAGCAAAAAAGAGACGGACAGCAGCAACGAGTGCGGATCTTGCACCCCAACCCCATCTCTGATCCTTCAGCCTTCAGCCTTTGAATGGCTGGGTGTTGCAGTGCGTTGCAATGCGTTGCAGACAACGAGGGAGGGCGAACGGGCGAGTGGCTTGTGGCGCGAGATGAAAATATCCAATATCCCACCGCCAGCCGGGACGCTCCTCTCCACCTCGAGACGGCTGGCTGCACATCGTATTGGCACCATGAGAAGCTATCGAACCATTCGGGCGGAGGGATGCGCATCGCACTTGCGTCGGAGCCCACGTTTCCTTTCCTGCCTGTCCACTAGCTTGGGAGCCTGGTGGTGGTCGCGCGTGTCCGTCAAAGCTTCTTCAGCCCGTTCGTCCCGTATTCCTCCATGGATCAATGAAGGATCCCTAGGTAAGGCACCTATCTGCCCACGCACGTAAGATAGGTAGGCAGGCAGGCTTGACAGGCAGGCGTCTGATTCCATGCCACGACGATGACGGAACATGCAAGTGGACGAGGCAGGCGTGACCCAGACCCAGACCCAGCCAGACCTCTGGTAGAAAGTTCACCCCGGGCAGCACCCCGCGAATGGGCAGTCACAAAGCGCAAAGGCTCCGGTTCTTTCCCCGCGTCAACGAGATTTGCAGCTTGCATCTTACACTTACCTGTCGTCGCTTCCGAGTCAGTATCGACATATCTAGGTTGTGGATACCACAGCGCCTGCAACCTCACCATGATACCCTGGCGTCCTTTCCTCCGCCCAGTCTCCATAGCCTTACCTTCCGGCGAGCTACCGTAGACCAGAACACCCCTGCTCTTCCCGGCCAACTTGGACCTTCATAGGTTTCTTTTGTTGCTGGTGCATCGTGCCCCATGCGCCAACCCATGTGCACCCCTCCCTCTTCGGTCGAGGCTCAGATCAAAAATCTCACCCGCATCCCGCTCCACGTTGTCAGAAGTTCGTGTCCAATCCAGACCCCAGCTCTCGGACGCAAACAGCTTCTCGTTGAAGCAGTCCTGGCCAGCCGCGACATCGGGACCCTGTCGTCCCCGTCCGCCCCCCGTCACCGTTACCGCGCACAAAGACATTCCCCAGCGATCCAGTAGTAGGCCCCCTTCTACACCCCCAGGTGTGCCCCTCCTATGACCACGAGCTTCCCCCTCAAACCGATGATCGTTTCTCCAAGGGGGGGACTATAGCGCGAAATCGATTTGGCCTACGGATCGCGACCGCATTACAAGAGTGACGGCATCCCCCCTCGTTTGTTGCCCCCTCCCCCTCTCAATCGAGCTCCTTCCTCATCCTCATCACTTCGCCGTTTCCGCCTCTTTCTCCCCTTCCTCCTCTTACACTTCTTTCCTCCACATTATTGACACTCACATCTGTGCACTCTTGTCTCGTCAACGGCCCTGCGGCATCGTGACAACATGTCAGCCATCGACGAGAAGCCCCAGGCGGAGATCGACCGTGTCGAGACGTCATCGGGCGACAATGGCAAGGGTGGTATCGAGTATGAAAGAGCCCAGCTGCTCGCGAACCTTCCTGATCCTGACGCTGGCAAGTCGGAGGAGGAGCGCCGCGCAATTGTAAGTTAAGGATAGAACAGCTGGTTCTTTACGTTACAGGACGGTCTCGCTGACACGCAATCAAAGGACAAGAAGCTTATGTGGAAAGTTGACCTATGGCTGATCCCTTGGCTGTCTCTGCTGTGAGTTTTCCCCTACAAGCAAAAGCTCCAAACGCAAGACCGTGTACTCTCTTTGTTTCGCTCCTGCGAGTGCACCCCGCTAACCCGTTCACCAGTTACCTTCTCTCGTTCCTTGACCGTACCAACATTGGCAATGCGCGTCTCGCCGGAATGGAACTCGATCTCGGCATGGAAAAGGGTGACTATCAACTGTCCCTGACGATCTTCTTCATCAGCTACGCCCTTGCTGAGCCCCTGACCAACGCCCTCTTGAAGCGCCTCACACCCCGAATCTTCTTCACCGGCATCATCCTTAGCTGGGGTGTCATCATGACCCTCATGGGCCTCGTCAAGAACTTCCAGGGCCTGCTTGCCGCTCGCTTCTTCCTCGGTGTTGCCGAGGCCGGTCTGTTCCCTGGTGTGAACTACTACCTCTCTTGCTGGTACAAGGGCTCGGAGATTGGTGTCCGTTCGTCACTCTTCTTCTCCGCTGCCGCGCTGGCGGGCTCCTTTGGCGGTCTTCTCGCAGCCGGCATTGCCCAGATGGATGGCATCGCTGGCATGCCCGGCTGGGCCTGGATCTTTATCATTGAGGGTATCGCCACCGTCTTTGTTGGTGTCTTTTGCTGGTGGATGGTTTTCGACTGGCCCGAGACGGCCAGCTTCCTCACCCCTGACGAGCGCATCCGCGTTCAGCGCCGCATCATCATGGACCGCCAGGGTCGTACAGCCGAGGACTTCGACAAGCGCCATATCTACGCTGCCCTGGGCGACTGGAAGACGTACGGCTGGATGGTCATCTACATGGGCTGCCTGACACCTCTATACGCCTTCTCGCTCTTCCTGCCCACCATTCTCCGCGGTATGGGCCACACCGGCACCCGCGCTCAGCTCCTGTCTGTGCCTCCTTACGCCGTCGCTGCCACCTGCACCGTGGCTGTTGGCTTCTTTGCCGACCGCACGCGCTGGCGTGGATACTGTAACATGGTGACCGTCACTATCGGCATCATCGGCTTTGTTCTGCTCATGGCATCGTCAGACCCGCAGGTCCAGTACGCCGGCACGTTCCTCGGCGCCGCAGGCATCTACCCCACCATCTCCAACACACTTTCGTGGGTTATCAACAATACTGAGGGTTCGCTCAAGCGCGCTTTCGTCCTTGGCATGGTCGTCGGCTGGGGAAATCTCAATGGTGTTGTTTCCTCTAACATTTATCTCGACCGCGAGAACCCTCGTTTCTGGACTGGTCATGGCGTCGTTCTGGGTTACCAGGTCCTCTTCCTGTTGGGCGGATCCGTGTTCATGCACATTGCCCTCAGAATATCAAACCGCAACCGCCGGGCTGGCAAGATGGATGCCAAATGGGCAACGCTCACGGAGGAACAAAGATGGATTAGCGGCGACAAGAGGCCCGACTTCATTTACACTCTGTAAATCACTGACTAACTTTTTTGTTGCTTTATTGGCTGTTCAGAGGAAGATTGATAACTTTGCAAGGAGGGATCGAAAGTTTGGCGTGCACGAGTGTGGATTCTCGGGCGCCATATACATACATTAAGCGTTTAAAAGAGCTACTTATCGATTTGCCATTTGTTGCCGATCAGGCAAGGTTCTGTTCTGTGACCCAGGAGTACTTTCATCCCAAATGTGGAGTCCTCATTTGATGCATTTGTTCTGTCGTTATCGCCCCGGTAAGACTCCTTACCGATGCTGGATCTGACCAATTACCTTCGTTTGGACTTCTGGAAGTCTCCTTTTGTACCTTAACAACAATCAATCCACTTTGTTCAATTCCGTGGTGACAGTTATGAGCCCGGGCGACGATACAGCTCCTTGACCTTCGATATCTACAGCAGGGCGCCTACGGCCAATACGCCTGCTGCGAAGCTGTCTACAGCTGAATCGCCGCTGCACTTCAACAGTCAATTGACGCGACGTTTCGCCATTGACGACCACTGGCCAAGGGCCGTTACCGACATCCTCCAGGAGAGCGATCATCTCTCCACGACACATCGAAGCAGGAGAAATCAGCTCCTCAAGACCAATTGAACCTCCGAGACGTGTGGCCTAGGGCTTGAGTACACGCGGGGTCAATTGATGATATTCAACATACACGCGATCAGTCGCGACCATCGAACGACCTCCCCGACGGTCTCCGACAACGCCCAGGGATCCTCAAGATGGACTCTGGTAAGCACAGAGTGACACTTACAAGGAGGGAGGAATGGAGGACATGGCTCAACTCCGTCAGAGCCGTGGCGACCTCCTACGAGGCCTGGGATCTAGTCGACCCAGACAAAGAGGCTGACAGGCGGCCCAAGAGGGCCAAGAAGCCAACAGCACCGTCATTCGAAGATGAGACGCGAGATCTCAGCACACTGCTGACGTTGTACAAGATCCATTTGGACATCTACAACAGGGAGTCAGCGGGCCTCCAGGAGGTCCAGAAATACATCCTCAACACAGTCGACAGGAGCCTTTCGGCCGTCTTCATGAACGAGGAAAGCAGCCAGGAGTGGCTCAAGGCGTTGAAGGACCACTTCGCCCCTTCCGACATGGGACAGAAACAATACATTCGCCAGCGCTGGGAGGAGCATATGGCGATGATCAAGAAGATGGACCATGAGAAGTGGGTTGACGACTTCATCCTACTCTGTATCGAAGTTGAGAAGCACGGGATTCCTCAGCTTAAAGAAGCCGCAGATCAAAATGTTCAATTCCTTCGGGCAATTCTTTCCGTGTCTCCAGGGTGGGCCGAAGCAGAGTGCGCCCACCAAGTTCGCCGGGAGCTGGATGATCGTGATGGAGGGAAGGTACTGGCGTTGAGGTACAAGAGCTACCTTAGAGACTACCAACCGCATCGCCTCACCACCAAGCCATCTCAGACGTCCTTCTACAGCGACTCGGTGACCTTCATGGGCAAGGACCGGAATGGTCAAAGTGATCGGACGAGTGCCCAGGATTCCCATCGTGACTCTCCTCAACAGCCAAACAGCTCGCCTTCTCGCAGACCATTCTGCGACTGTGTACAGCAGAAGAGGGCACCCAAGGCGTGTCAGCCCATCTGTCTGTGCCCAAATATCGCGGAACACCGGAGGAAGAAGAGCTATCAATCCGATCAGAGCCTGCTGGACTACATTGACGAAGCGAAGAAAAGGATGAAGCCAAGCACATTGCAATTCTGGAACGAGAAAATCAAGGAGGACAAAAAGAAGCGGCAGGAGGCAAGAGGCACCAGTGGAGTCGCCGTCTCTGCTTTTAACAACTTCCTCGGTGACGATGATGAACAGAGCTGCGATGACGAGTACACCAACTTCATGAGCAACTTCTCCGTCGCTGATTCGGACGAGTTTCAACGGACAAACCGAGGAGGGGATCTCCGTCACGAGTTCCTGATCGACTCGGGTACACCCAACCATATAACCAACAACAAAGACCTCCTCACCAACTTTCGCGAGGCCACCGACACTGTAAGATACAGCACAGGAGGAGGCAAATCAAGCCCCGTCGAAGGGCATGGCACGATGGCCATCGACACCCTCGACAGCAAGCAGAACGTCATCAGCATCACCTGCCATGATGTCTCGTACATCAAAGACTACCCGACGACGCTTATTTCAGCCAGGCAGCTCCAACGCCAAGGACTCGGACTGGACTCCCTCAGGAACATGCTGTTCAACCCAGCCACTGGCTCAGAGATCCCACTTCAGGAGAAGGGTGGCCAGTATGCGGTGAACACCCTACATAGCACCACTTCCTTCTATCACTCCAAGAAGCAGAGAGCCGCGATGGTCAGCGACTCGAGGCTCTGGCACGAACGGCTGGCTCATGCCCACCCAGAGGCCATACAGCAGCTGCCATACAGCTGTACTGGAGTTGGGGTGAAAGGGCCAACAACATTCGAATGCGAGTCTTGCGGGGTAGCGAAATCCAAGAAGATTGTATCTCGGAGACAGCCAACGTACACGACGACGAATCCATTTGAGCGCGTCAACCTGGACTTCTTCAGCCCTGGGAAGTCGTACAACGGCATGGAGTCGTGCCTTGTAATAACGGACGCATATTCGGGGAAGATTGTTGTCAGGATTCTGCCTGCCAGAGCAGATGGCTTCCAGGCGTTTATCAACTTTGAGATGTTTCTCTGGAGACAGTACCATCTGGTCATCAAGGTCCTGAGAGTTGACTGGGACTCAGCACTACGCAGCAATCTGGTTACTTGGTCAGAAGAGCGCGGCATTCTCTTGGAGAGATCAGCCGCAAGGACACCAGAACAGAACGGTGCCGCAGAACGCAATGGAGGCACGATATTCACCATCGCAAGAACCCTTACCTCGGCTGCTGGGTTCCCGGAGGATTTGTGGCCAGAGGTGGTACAAACCGCTGCATATCTCCACAATCTCACGCCGAAGGGACGCCTACAGTGGGCGACACCAGAAGGAAGGCTGAACGACTGGCTCAACTCCAAGGGCCTTGCCGCTCGAACTACGGCTCCAGGCCTGGCTCACCTGCGAAGATACGGATGCAGGGCGTATCCTCTCACGGCAGACGCCCAAGAGGGACGTAACCGAAAGCAGAAGCTGGCTCCGAGAGCCCACATCGGCTATCTCTGTGGATACGACAGCAGCAACATATACAGAATCTGGGTTCCAGAGATGAAAGCAGTATTGAGGACAAGAGACGTGGGTTTCGATGAGTCCACAGTTTTCAAGGACGCCCAATCCCCAAAGCCAATTCTACAGGACGAATTCCAGGCTTTGGACGTGCCCGTTGCGGACGCCCAGAATCCTTTCAACTCGTCACTGGACATTGACGAGTTCGATGTTGCCACCATCGACCTGTTCGAGAAAGCCCGGACATTCCAACTTGGAGGAAAGATCAACGCGGAGATACTGCGACCCCGGGAAGGTCACACAGCCAGCAGAGATGATGTCCTGCCGTCACCACGTCCAACTCCAGAGACGGAGACTGGACAAGGCCAGCCAGCTGTCTCTGAGGGGGTGGAAGATGCCGTAATAGACACCATTCAAGGGGCTGAAGATGCTGTGGAAGACACGATCCCCGTGCCAGACACCATTCAAGTGACTGAAGAGGCTATTGAAGACACTATCGAAGTAGCTCGGAGCCCTGAATCAACACCTCAACACACACCAGCTGATCAAAGTTCAGCTGAAGACGAGACAGAGACTGTGGAGGCCCGACCATCAGTGGCACCAGCCCCACAGCCGTCGCCATCAACACAAATCCAAGGCACTCGAAGGAGCGCTAGAGACAGAAAGCCGTCACAGTTCAAAGACGGCACCCCCACCGACCAGGCTCTAGGAGCCCGCCGCAGCAAGAAAATGCCTCCATCATCACATTTGACCGTGGAATACTCATTCTTTCACACTCAGACTCCATCGAACAAGAAACCGCTTCTCCGAACAGATATGCCCGCGGAGCCAAGATCCTGGAAGGAGATGCTTCATTCTGATCACAAAAAGCAGTGGCTAGAAGCAAGCGTCCAGGAGGTCAACACCATTGAAAATATGGACACAATCGAGCAAGTCCCCTTCGAATCGGTCGACCAGGAAATACACAAGGTTCTCGGGTTGACCTGGGTCTGGAAATACAAGGTTGACTCCACCGGCTACGTGACCAAGTTCAAGGCCAGGCTCTGCGTACGAGGAGACCAACAGCCCAAGAATGAGATGGAAACATACGCGTCGACACTGGCAGCCAAGACGTTCAGAACGTTGATGGCCATCTGTGCAGAGTTTGACCTAGACACGCACCAGTTGGATGCCGTCAACGCCTTTCCAAATGCACACCTCGACGAGACAGTCTACGTCTGGGCCCCTCAGGGCTGGGATCTCATGCAGGAGATGCAACAGAAGAAGGGCGCTCCACAGAGGCGCACGATTTTCAAGCTGAAGAGAGCTTTGTACGGTTTGCGCCGATCACCGCTTCTCTGGCACAAGCTGCTGTCCGAGGCTATGCGGAAGATCGGCCTCGTGGCTCTCGAGGAAGATAACTGTGTCTTCATGGGCAGAGGCATGATCATGTTCTTCTACGTTGACGACATCATCCTCATGAACCGCAAAGAGGATCGCCAAGCGGCCGAAGAGCTGAAGAGCCAGCTCAAGTCTCTGTTCGAGATGCGAGAACTTGGCGAGGTCAGATGGTTCTTAGGCATCAGAGTGGTCAGAGATCGTAGCCAGCGCAAGCTCTGGCTGTCTCTGGAGAACTACATCACTGAAAAGATGAAGGACCTCAACCTCCAGCCATCCACCAGAGGTCATTTGACGCCTCTATCAACAGACCCAGCACCTGCTCCAAAGGATTACGAAGCCTCTGCTGAATCCATTCAACTATACCAACGCAAAATTGGTTCCATCAATTACGCAGCAACCACAACACGACCTGATGTGGCCAAAGCTGCCTCAAGACTTGCGGAGTCTCTGCTCAGGCCGACAGAACTCCATCACCTTGCAGCAGACCACTGTCTCCGCTACCTCTATCGCACAAGGACTCTCTCGCTGTCCTACGGAGGATCAGGAGACCATTCTACATCGCTGTATTGTGCGAGCGACGCATCATTCGGCGATGATCCCATCACCAGATTTAGCTCACAAGGATACACCACCATGCTCTTTGGAGGTCCAATTGACTGGAAAGCTACAAAGCAGCGATCCGTGGTCACTTCTAGCACCGAAGCTGAGCTGGTGGCCCTCAGTGTCGCAGCGAGGAACTACCTTGCCACTCTTCGTCTGATCAAGGAGCTTCAGCTACGTTTTCATGGCAAGGTTCCGATCCAGATGTTCTGTGATAACCGCCAAACGCTGCTGTTACTCACTAGTGAGAGGCCTCAAGCCACTACGAAGCTCAAGCATGTTGACATCCATCGTCTTTGGATCCGACAAACAGTCAGACAGGGGAAGATATCCGTGGACTGGATGAGCACTGACAAGATAGTGAGCGATGGGCTTACAAAGATTCTCCCGACTCAGAAGCATCAGAACTTCGTGAAGCTTCTGCAGATGGAGTGCGTACCAGCGGTCCACCAGTGAACAGCTTGCTCAATTTCGCCCACCTCTCCTAACACTTACACACATCCTTATTTGCTTCACAAGCACGATTTCCTTCATCTGCCCTGAGAACGCCAACTGTTCCAAAGGCACCAAATTCTCTACCAAAAGCCGCCAACAGGCATCTGCCTGATCTTTCGTGGTTCAGATGGTCAGAGAGAGGCTCGCCTACCCATCTGAGGGGGTGTGTTGCCGATCAGGCAAGGTTCTGTTCTGTGACCCAGGAGTACTTTCATCCCAAATGTGGAGTCCTCATTTGATGCATTTGTTCTGTCGTTATCGCCCCGGTAAGACTCCTTACCGATGCTGGATCTGACCAATTACCTTCGTTTGGACTTCTGGAAGTCTCCTTTTGTACCTTAACAACAATCAATCCACTTTGTTCAATTCCGTGGTGACACCATTCAAGATGAGTTGCCGTTTCAATATGTGCATGTCGTCCGTGCCTTCCCACTCCCATGACGTTGTGATGATTATGGCTGGGTCTGATGACTAACGCCTGTGGATAGCATCCTAGGCATCCGCATTGTAGGAGAGCCGCACCTGCATTTCGTCATCAGTATCGCGATGGCGTGCGAGCTTCATTGTACCACCAAAACATTCCTCCGCGACACTCACCCCCAAACACGTGCTCGGATCGCCATGGTGCCATCAAACGCCATCACCATGGAGTCTCAGATGTCAGCTGCGCTTATCAAGCAGTCGTCGCGTCCCACGAATCCCTATCTTGCGATGCCTCCCACAACCACAACGCAGGCGTCCGTCTGCTGCGAACACTTCCAAGACCATCAACTGTTGTTGCCCGAGACATGACAGATATATACAACCTGAAAACATCGATTCCACGATTACAAGTGCCGACGAGAAGTCGGGCATGTTAGCAAGCCAGACAACTACCAGAAACGACCAAGCATCATGACGATCACCGACGCCGAAGCCCAGCCGCTCCTCTCACCGGCCACTTCTAGCAGCTCGAGCAGCTCGAGCACAACGCTGTACTCCAATAATTTCGGCAAAATATCGCGTCGTATCGAAGACGATGTGCTCCCCGAAGCTTCCTCCCTGGGCCGCACGCTCTCCTGGCAGAGTGCTTATATCCTTGTCATCTCCCGAGTCATCGGCAGTGGTATCTTCGCAACGCCGGGCTCAATAGTTCGTGCGGTCGGTAGCCCGGGGCTAGCTCTGGTGCTGTGGGTCGTGGGTGCTGCCGTGGCTGCTTGCGGCTTGGCCGTTTCGTTGGAATTCGGCTCCATGCTACCGAGGTCGGGCGGCGACAAGGTGTACCTGGAGTTCACATACAGGCGGCCGCGCTTTCTCGCCTCGACGCTGGTCGCCGTCCATGTCGTCCTGCTCGGCTTCACGGCCAGCAACTGCATTGTCTTCAGCCAGTATGTCTTGTTCGCACTGGGCCAGGAGCAGGCGGGCGATGGTCTCCGCAAGGGGCTGGCTGTGGCATTGCTCGCGGCCGTCACCGGAGTCCATGCCGTATTCCCCAAGACAGGAGTCCGTTTGCAAAACGTGCTAGGCTGGGTCAAAGTTGGCATCATCATATTCATGATCCTGTCTGGCCTGTACGTCGTGCTTCTGCGTCCGGAACAGCGGCTACCAGCGCAAGGGTCGAGCCTGGCTTGGAATACACTTTGGGAACATTCAAACTGGAATTGGGGAATCATCGCCACGTCTCTGTTCAAGGTCTTCTACTCGTTCGCTGGGCTGGACAATGCCAACAACGTCCTGAACGAGGTCAAGGATCCCGTGCGGACCTTGCGCTCTGTCACCTTCACTGCGCTCATTACGGCTTGTGGGCTGTACCTGCTCATTAACGTGGCCTACTTCATCGTTGTCCCCATCGACGAGATCAAAGAGAGCGGCGAGTTGATTGCAGCGCTCTTCTTCGAGAGGATCTTTGGACCCGGCGTAGGGCGCATCATCTTACCCTTGGCCGTCGCCCTGTCCGCTGTGGGAAACGTACTGGTCGTGGCTTTTGCTCAGGCCCGGCTCAAACAAGAGATTGCCAGGCAGGGCTTCCTACCCTTTTCGGAGATTCTCTCAACAACACGCCCCTTCAACTCGCCAATAGGAGGGTTGGCGGTACACTTCGTACCCTCCCTCCTCGTCATAACACTACCGCCGTCGCGTGAGGTATACTCTTTCATTCTAGAAGTAGAAGGCTATCCTGGCCAGTTCTTTTCGTTGGCAGTGGCATCCGGCCTCGTGTGGCTGCGCTTCAAGCGTCCAGATCTGAAGAGGCCGTTCAAAGTCTGGCTGCCTGCTGTGGTGCTGAAGATCTGTTTGAGCCTCAGCCTGCTCGCTGCACCATTCTTCCCGCCGCCAAATCGGCGGGAGGGTGAACTTTTCTACGCCACGTATGCTATCGTTGGCGTGAGCATGTGAGTTGCCCTTGCTTTACATGACCCGAACCCTGCTAACGATGGTAGTATCACCGCTGCGACAGCGTACTGGTATGTGTGGACGCGACTCATCCCGAGGCTTGGAGGGTATAGATTGGAAGAGAAGGTCGATTTGCTCAAAGATGGAACTACCATCACTAAGCTGATTCATGAACCGTTGCGAGCGGCAGCGCGGTCACTGGAAGCATCATAGAGGGTAGACTCTTTCTATTTATAGAATAGAACTGATCATATGTTAATTATGTGCTTCTGAAAGACTGCTACATAAAGTCTTCGCCGTGGTGGTCGATGTTGCTGATGAACCTCAATCATCGTGCAACGCGCGTAGCTTACGCACCATGTGTGAATTTATGTACACAACCCCCATCCAGTCATCATTTTCAATGTATCATTTATAATCGAGCCTCTCCTCACGTTGTCCAACGTCACTGGCGCCTTTCCAGTGTGCCCAGATCACATTTCATTGGGTTGCTTATCAATCCCTCCATCAACCGAGTTGAGGTGTGGATGGCGTGCTCGCGGGGTGTCTGTTGAGGCACCCGTCGCATAAAAAGCGCCGAGGTCCACGCCCAAAGATAGTCTCGCAAGACTCAACAAAACCATTGCCAGAAACCACATGACCGACGCATCATTGATCTCTTGATTTCATAGCTATCAGCCCTTGAGTATCTCAGATTACTTTCATCATGGCCGCCGCCGCCGTTCACCAGATCCCCACGGGGGCCTTCGGCTCTCTCCAGAGTATCGATAAACCCGTCCAAGTTGAGACTTCAAACGAACCCAAGCTGTCCCGTCATGACGTTGAGACATCCCTCAACTACTTCAAGCCCAATGAGGACGGCTCGCCTCCTCATCCAACCTACGTTGGTCGCCCTGAGACTTACGACCGACCGGTCGAGTCTCACAAAGTCACCATTCACGACATTTCAGGCCGGGAGGCCGAGTTTTCCCTCGATTCCAATGGATTCCAGATTCATCGACATACGGCGCAGGAGCGCGACTTCCTCGACGACGACCAGATCAAGGCTTCATACTACCCCGAAACAGAGCAGCTCCTCAAGGATGTGTAAGTTGCCGAGGGATTATGACCATGAAAAACGCTTACACACCACAGCACTGGTGCCTCAAAGATCTTTATCTTCGACCACACCATCCGCCGCCAGGCCCCTGACGCAGAGCCGAAAGGCCGAACGCTCAGAGGGCCAGTCCAGCGCGTTCACATTGACCAGTCGTATGCGGCAGCGCTCACGCGGGTTCCACATCATCTGCCCGAGCAAGCAGATGAGCTCCTCAACGGTCGCGTGCAGATCATCAACGTCTGGCGCCCCATCAAGACTGTCCATCGGGACCCGCTTGCCGTGGCCGAAGCTGATTCAGTCCCGGACTCTGACCTCGTCGTGACAGAGCTCATCTACCCCGACCGCCGTGGCGAGACCTATGCTGTCAAGCACAACAGCAGCCACAAGTGGTTCTACAAGAGTGGATTGACCCCGGACGAGGTGCTTCTCATCAAGTGCTTCGATAGCAAGACGGACGGCCGGGCGCGCCGCGTGCCCCACACGGCATTTGTGGACCCCTCGGCTCCGGAGGATGCGCCGCTGCGGGAGAGCATCGAGGTGCGGGCATTGGTGTTCCATCCGGATGATCGTCAGTAAATGGAAGCATAGGCACGGAAGGGTGTTGATATGGCTTTTGCTATGTACAACCATTCATCATTGTTCAATGAGGTCAAGTTGTTTGATCCTTGCAAGTCACTCCATCTGTACTGGAACCGGTGGGTGGGTGCAAAACGACAGTCTTGCACCATCACTGTCTCAAACATACTGTAGCCTGATTTCTAAGAAGTTAAAGCGATCCCAGTCTCTGACGTCGCCTCCATTGCCAAAGGTCCACAGCGCGATTACAACGAAGCGGTATGGATCGGGAAGTGCCCAGGAACCATCCGCCATTCTACCGTTCCATGAAGACGCCCAGCCAACGTTTCGGTTGTATGTTGTAGGATAGTCTTCGATATTACCTACTGTCACATCACCAAGCCCGTTCTACTTCTGCCGTGGAGCAGCGGTCAAGCATGATGGTGCCGGGAGCTGCAGTTCAAGACGGACTTCGGCACTCCCCATGACGAGCCAGATGGACTGACTTGGAAGTGCACTTGGCGGTAGGATGAGATCTGAGACTTCAAGCGGATTTCTGGTCAAGTTTTTGTTTCTAGGTGGGGCAGAAAGCTATGCAGTCACTCCGCCTGGAAGTGGCGAGCTGCCCGAGTTGTCCGACCGCGTAGTCCACATGCGAGACGATGCCATTACTATAGTATTTCGCATCGCTCCTGCGACTACTATGTACGTCAGTGCAAGCTGTGAGCTAGAATTTTCACTTGAAGTATCATTGAGAGTGATCCGTCCGGAGTAAATGGGCACCACAGAGATGTCGACGTCCTTCGGTGGTGTTGCGGTAACCAAGACCTGTACTTCATTTCCAGGCTGAACAATTGTTCTTGAGGGGGAAATGAAAGCCCAGCGTAGGCGCTCGTCAGAAGTGGTGATGATTGCTTGTATACCATGCTTGACCAAAGGGTGTCCGCAGTGAGCGCGGGCCTGTGTCCGATGGCGGAAGTCACTGAAAGGGTGCCTTTATTTCGAACCATAAAAGCTTGTTCAGAGAGAAAGTTCTCAGTGTCGGAGAGAGTTCTCAGTGTCGTTAAAATACAACTGTGTGACAATCAGGAAGACGATAGAGTGGATTGCGTCGTATGCCTGTACCAAGCCTGTACCTTGCTCTGGAACGGGGCCAAGACCAGGACTTAGGACTGGCCGGCCTGTCGACATGTCGTATGATCTACCGGTCTTAGCGGACATTGAGAGAATTCATTGAATCTCCCGTTATGTTCTTACTCTTAGGTACCATTAGATTAAGTTGTCGCTTAAGGGGAGAGAGACACTGGCCTCAACAACCAGAGCAACAATGGCGGCAATAAGAGGGCAGGACATTGACGTCCCTGAAGCAACTCCATAGCCACCCTGAGCTAGCGGCAAAATTGAAAGAATATTTCTGCTGGTGCGCCAACATCCAGCTCATTCCCCAAATAAAAGGTCAGTCCCCAGCTTGTGAAAGTACTGACGGCACCACCCGTGTCCGTATTCGAAATCTCGCTAGCTTGTCCGCTAGGCGCGTCGTAGGATGGGTCATGGGTATGTTGGAACGACGAAAGCGATAGGACTCCATCGCCAATTGAGGGGGCACTGACGCCGAAGAGGCCTTCTGTGCCCCCAACCTTGTTACCACCTGAAAAGGTGCAGGGAACACCGGCCTCAACAATGCGCGACACCAGCAATGCAAATGGCTTTTGGCTCTAGCCACTTGCCAGTCCGACTGGCCAGTGATAATGTCACTTCCATCTTCATAAGTGGCAGCCATGGGAGCGTCCATTGTCGTAATGTCAGAGCAGCTAAGGCGCGGAACATGCCAATTTTGACACCAGGCGCGGCGCCTTTGAAGCCAAGCGGGTTATACAGCGCGGCGATGATCTCAGCGACATGCGTTGCGTGGCCGTTACAATCTTCAAAAGGGTCTCCGTCTGGGTTGGGTGGCTGACTTTCATCGTAGCTGCCACCGGCGACATTTGCGCCGAACTCGACGAGGCATCTGGGGCTGGATGGGTGTAATCGAAGCCAGTATCAACGATACCTATCCGAAAACCCTCTTCAGTGATTCCCTCAGCATGAAAGCGATCGACCTGCGTCATGATGTGAGGCGAATGACCGTCTTTGCCAACCTGTCTCCGCTGAACTTCAACCAAGGGTTTGCCTTGGGCTGTCCAAGCTAAATTCGGTTGGGGCGATGAAATAACTTTGACAGGCCAGATGTTTCTGGCTTCGGGTGAAGCCCCGACCTGGCGTACGACCTCTTCTTCGTCTTCCTTCTGAACAATTCCAAGGTTGAATGACGTGCCCTTGAAGACTGTGGAGTCGAAGCGGATGCGCTCCTCAACACTAGTTACACCTCCTTGGGCCCCGAGGCTTGAGATGCACTCGTCTGTCCTTATAGGCTCGGTCAGCATATGTTTCCTGTGCAAGCATCCCCGTTCACTTACTTGGCCGTCGGATATCTCCGCAATGTAGGCGCCTGGGGCATATTTCCCCTTCATCATAGGCGGTGCGATGGCATCCTCATCTTGAGATTCTCTTGCTAGGCCAAGACTGGCAGCCAGAAGCCAGGGGAAAGCTGAATCGAATCTCATTGCAAGTGCTTTCCGTCGAGGTTTTCACGATCTGAAGCGGATTGCAACGGGCTAGAGAGCAGCATTTTGTTTATGGACAGACCGGCGATTAAATATGCTTGGTGCAAATCACCTTTCTCCCAGAGGGCAACCCCTCTTTTGCAGAACGTGCTGTTCCAGCAAGCCCGCTTGGTCTTCCCAGACATGATGTCCCCTTGTGTGGGTGGCAGTAACGCTGCTATGCTGCCGAAAACATCCGCACTTTGCGCAGGCAGCGTTGCATCAGAGCACTCAAGTCCCTTCGGACCATGGGCACCGCTCCTTGAGTGGGGAACAATTATTGAATCAGGCACCATGGTGCTGTTATTGAGGTGATTTGAGCAGGAAGTCGCTGGAGAGCGGGAATGCTGCTCATTTCCGGTATGCGCCAAGACATGCCGTTTATTTCCCGCGATGAGATACTCTGGCTGTATAAAGGACGCCATTACGCAGATTGTCTGGCTTTCTCAAATATGAATCCTAAGTCTGGTCGCTCCTCAAAAACGTGACTAGAGCCTGATCGAGGTTCATAACACGATAGAATCTCGCTCCCAGCACGACAATTTACAAGACTGATATTGCTGTCTAGTGGTCCCTGAGGAGCCACGGAGCAGGGGGGTCGGTTAGGGACTACCTAAGAACTACGATAACGTATATACAATGACTGCGGAGGGCCCTCCTAGCTGCAAAGGGCCCGAATTGGGATATATTACGATACCATATCTATTTTCTATCACCTGCGGACCACATGGGGAAGACCTCTTCAATCTGCCCAGCCCACGCACTCACAATTGTTCAGTGAAAATATTACGGACCCCTCATAAGATAGTGATATGGAATGTAAAGCTACCAAAGTATAGCCTGTAAGAATGCCCTTCGACTGATGTGATGTGCCACATCCCTCACAGTTGCAGTTGAATAATTGATCAAAGCTTGGGGCATGGCAGATGAAGACAAGATCTTGGTGTACGAGCAGGCTCTTGAGGGATCTGGGACAGTTGGCATAATACGAAACAAAGTCGATCAGTCGTCTTGCTGCTTCGATTTACGATAAAAGCACAGACGTAGAAT